ATGGTAGTAGTGGTGATGGTAGTAGTGGCTATGGTAGTAGTGGTTATGATAGTAGTAGTAGTCGTCGTCGTCGTAGTAGTAGTAGTAGTAGTAGCAGGTGGTAGTAGTAGTAGTAGTAGTAGTAGCAGCAGCAGCACAACATGCCACACACAGCATCTATGGACATCACTATCTTCGGTGAGCGTGATACATCAAAAGCACTACTGTTCGAATTGAGATGCTTCCTAACTTGAATAAAGGATGACTATGCGCTGCTTAGAGGATGCTAGAGACAGTTAAACACAAAGTAAGTGGTCTTGCCAAGTAAGCTGGCCTTGTATCAGTTGCCATGTTATACAACCACCTCTCAGCATACTTCCCACCCTTCAAATACTCAACAATCGGAACAGGAAAACAGAACTACGTACCCACAAGTGACACACAAGCAACAACTAATAAGCGCCAAGCAGCCAACACCCACCGCAGCCAGCTACCCTGCACTTCTCTTTCTATTCCTACACCTGCTAGCGCTCCTACTCCTCACCTACTACTGCTTGGACCACTCTTCCTCCTACTCAACAACTCTCCTCGCACGACGACGATCGACGACAGCTACAACTTACAACTGCGAGTACTTCTCGGTGCAGCCTTTGTCGCATATCTTAGACACACTCTGAAACTCCGCCGTGGCAACCCTGCTGAGCGCCAAGCAAGATCTGAAAGCGCCCGATGCTCCTCCGAAGGAGATGTTGACGAGACTTTGAGGATGTAGGAGTTTCAGGCTTCGGGTGGAAGAGCCTGTAGACTGTCGAGCTTGGGACTGTCGAAGGCGGAAGTTTTGACCAGACCTGACAAGTATTGAAACAGTTGGTAGCAAGCTTCAGCTGCGGAATTTGCATAAGTTACGAGTGATGGTGGTAGTAGTAGCACTACTGGTAGTAGCAGTATTAGGAGTAGTAGTAGTAGTAGTAGTAGTAGTAGTAGTAGTAGCAGTAGTAGTAGTAGTAGTAGCAGTAGTAGTAGTAGTAGTAGTAGTAGTAGGAGTAGTAGGAGTCGGACTAGGAGCAGCGGCAGCTTCATCGGTAGCCGGGTGTGAACTCGAGGTCCCAAGATGCAACGGACTCCCTTCAGCCAAACAAGCTTCATTGTAGGGGGTTTAGGGTTTAGGGTTTAGGGTTTAGGGTTTAGGGTTTAGGGGGCCTTGATGATTAGACTAGGGTTCCTTTCAAGGGGGTCCTAGAAGGGATACTATAAGGGGGTTCTGTCGGGGTTCTAGCATAGGGGCCTTGATCATTAGAACAGCGTTTTGGGTGTATACTTTACTATGTTTTGTCTATACTATACTATACTATACTATACTATACTATACTATACTACACTACACTATACTACACTATGCTATACTATCCTATGCGATGCTATGCTATGCTTTGCTATGCTGTGCTATACTATGCTATAGGCTGTCTGGGGAGATAAATACCAACTAATCCTAGGTCTGCATTACACCTCTTGCTTTCTATGTCAGGCCCCAAAAAAACCCGGCAAGGCATCCTGGGCAGCGGCTGAGACGCATCGTTGTTATCGACCTGCTCGCGCGAAAGTTCTGCATTTCGATTTCTGGCTTTGGGCTGAGGGCTCAGACCTTTCATTTGATGCTGCGAGTACTGTCATCATCGTTGCTTTGTGATGTTCTGGTGGCGCATGGTTGCTGTCGCCGTGGTGGCTTCTGCCATCTTCCACCTTTGCCACTCTTGTCCCTGATGGTGCTGCTGCTACGGACGTTGTTGCCGCTCGGCTGTGCGAAGGTTGTGTCAACTGGAGCAAAGATCCAGACGTGAATGCACCTGGTATTCTGGCAGTCGAGTGGCTTGAACATCTTCGAGGCACGCTTACACACAGTCTGACGGACTGTCGTCGTGGTTCGCCATCGGTTGCTGAGATGGCACAGCACAACCCGGACCAGTAAGTACCGCCGTAGAGCCCCCCCGTTCTTAGTATATTACAGCATACGACAGTATTTTAGAGTATTATATAATGGATTATTGTATGTTTTAATAAACTCTAGTATATTATCAGGAGGATTTAAGCGGCAGAAGACCCTAAACCCCAAACCCTAAA